ATCCCTGGGGTCAAAATTGGTCCCGTCCCAGGAGGTTATTGATTTTCCCTATATGCATATAGTAAAAACTTTAAAAAATCTTCTTTTAAAGAATCCAAAAAGCTAGAGCTAAGATATTTAGCATGAAACATCTTCTAATCGGTGTCTACCAAGTTTGTTTAAATAAAAGCCCTGGGGTCAAAATTGGCCCCGCCCTAGGGTGTCATTGATTTTCCCTATATGCATATAGTAAAAACTTAAAAAATCTTTTTCTAAAAATCCAAAAGAGCTAGAGCTTAGATATTTGGCTGAAACATGTTCTAAAGGATGTCTACCAAGTTTGAACAAATAAAAGCCCTGGGGTCAAAATTGGCCCCGCCCCAGGGGGTCATTGATTTTCCCTATATGCATATAGTAAAAACTTAAAAAAAATTCTTTTAAAGAACCCAAAGAGCTAGAGCTAAGATATTTAGCATGAGGCATCTTCTAATGGGTGTCTACCAAGTTTTTCAAATAAAAGCCCTGGGGTCAAAATTGGCCCTGCCCCAGTGGGTCATTGATTTTCCCTATACGCATATAGTAAAAAATATAAAAAATCTTCTTTTAAAGAACAAAAAGAGCTAGAGCTAAGATATTAAGCATGAAACATCTTCTAATGAGTGTCTACCAAGATTGTTCAAATAAAAGCCCTGGGGTCCAAATTGGCCCCGCCCCAGGGGGTCATTGATTTTCCTATATGCATATAGTAAAAACTTAAAAAAATCTTCTTCTAAAAAACCCAAAGAGCTAGAGCTTAGATATTTGGCATGAAACATGTTCTAATGGATGTCTACCAAGTTTGTTCAAATAAAAGCCCTTGGGTCAAAATTGGCCCCGCCCGGGCTGACATTGATTTTCCTTATATGCATATAGCAAAAACTTAAAAGTCTTCTTTGAAAAAAGCCGAATAGCTAGAGTTTAGATATTAAGCATGAAACATTTTCTAGTAAGTGTCTACAAAGATTGTTCAAATAAAAGCCATTGGGTCAAAACTGTCCCTGTCCCAGGTGTGTCATTGTTTTTAGCTATATGTGTAAAGAAAAAAACTTGACCAGCTAGACCTTAGATGTTAAGCATGAAATATCTTCTAATGGGTGTCTACCAAGTTTGTTCAAATAAAAGCCCGGGGTTTAAACTGGCCCCGCTCCGGGGGCCATATATACAGGTGAGCGACTTTACAGCCATCATGGCCCTCTTGTTTCATGACTAGGTAAGAGTTGCGTCGTCTGTGTCAATCAGGAAGTTTCCACAGAGTTTACGGTCCTAGGCACCAGTATTTCCCCATTTTGTTACCTAGGATGTGTCTTAATAGGTATTTGGTGATTTCTGTTTGTATTGTGATAAGATAAATTGTGAAAATAAATTGAAAGTCCATGTTCAATTACTTGTATGATACTGCAATATATACCAGGGTCACAAAACTGTATCTTATAGCAGCTGACTTCAAATTGACACAATAAAGGTTATAAACTTTATGGTGAGATAACAAAGTTTAAAAGGATTTAAAACGAATTAGGAAATAAAAAATTGTTTGAATCTTCACAAGGTGTGTATGAATTAACATAATATGACTGAATTTGCTATGTTTATAACCACGTTTTTATCATGTTTAAAATTTTATAAACAGAGTAGGGCTACATTTTATAACAATGTACCATTTCAGAAAAATTTTAAAGCATCTTTCTTACAAGCAGATTTATTGGCCATTTGTGTTTTATGTCAATACATGTATGTTTGTTTCTTTGTATTTTCAGAAAAATGCATAAATGCTCAGTTACCAACAAGTTGTAAATAAATAATGATTGATTAATATTTTAAAACTTATTTTTTTACACATCATGAAACAAAAATGCAACAATTTGACAGAAGAATTGTCTGAAGTGATATGATTTTAAATGTCTATTTGTTACAGATTTTACGTAAGTCACGCTCAATCTGCTCTTTCTTGCTCTTTAACTAGACACTATTACTGAATTTTATACACCTGTTTAAAAAACGGGACATATATAGGAATGCCTGGCGGGCAGGGAGATTATAGAGTGCAGGTGGCATCCAATTTTGTCTGGAGCATATCTCATTCACAAAGAGAGGGACTTTAATGAAACTTCTTTAAAATGTTAACCACTATAAGCACTCATGTTGCACACATGAATCAGGTCTCTATGTCAACGGTCAAGGTCACACTTAGAGGTCATTGTAAAATGCTTGTCTGAAGCAAAACTTATATATACATTTAGGGATTCAATATAAATTGGCATAAATGGCGTAGTGTTGTGCCTAAAATTCATGTCCCTGCAGCTATATCTAGGTCACACATTGAGGTCAAATCTCATTTAAAGTACGAATTAGTTGAAATTGTGTGTGTCAGAAACAAGTGTTAGTGTTTGTAGAAAAAAATGATTTCATGTTATAACTGTAGATGGACCTATTGCAGTAAGTACTATTCAACCCATACATAAAAAGGGAAGGTTAAAAAGCATTGAGTGCAAAAAAAATGTTGGCCATTTTGGAAAAATGAATTTAAACACAATTTTTTTGTCCTAATTAAAGGGGCATCTGTGGTTAAGGATGTTGAGTAAATACTACTTGCCCCTCTTGCTATGGGTTTGCATCCCATCACAACCTTTGATTTTTTTCAGGGGAGGAAGCTATCCTTATAGCTAAAAATATGGACCCTTGGTGGTTCTACTCAGGTTCCCTTTTGTCCCTTAGATAATACACTGAGTGGCACCTGATATCTGTCCAAACCAGAAAGGTTGGAAAGGCGCTATGTAACCTTTACAGCATTGGTGCAATGTAAAAGCCAACATAAATTATTACATACAGATTTATATAATTCTCATAATGTTAAAGAGGCAAATATTTGACATATAGTGTTAACAGTCAAACAAGAAAACATATAAGGTTAGTTTATTTATTTATTGTTTTATCATACTGTCCAGTACCATGATCTGTGGGGAGAATAGTCTACTTGATATATATGTAAGGCAAAGTTGTTTCAATAATGTTAGATAAAAATAATTAAATGGACTCAGAAATCAACGTTGTTTTCTTTATTGTCAAGGTACATTTACCGCCCTTATATTAACAGTACTTAAACCAGTATTTGTTTCCATCCATAGTTAGAAGTAAAATCCACTGTTAATTGATAACAATTTGAGTGACAAAATTTTATTGGATCCCAAGTTGACAGTGCGAACATAGTAATATTTTACCAGTCAACTTATCTGTGCAATCTGACAAATTAAAACCGGCTTGACATTATATGAAGGTCTGTTCTGGTAATAAATTATTTAACTTTCGTGGTGGAATTGCTACTCAAATTAACTCCAAACATGTGATAACAAATAACATTGTTACATTAAAATTGTTTTTAAAATAAACTTTAAAGTTATGTTGAAAAATTTACCTACATAATGTATATTTGTATTTATAGGTGAACAAAGATGATCTGAACATGTATATTCCAAGGTTGTTAGAGGCTCTTCTCATCTGTTTTAGTGATGACAGCTGGACAGTTAGAGATGGTAAAATGTCTAAAACATACCTTAGTTATAAATAATTAGAGTCCTTGCAAAGAGTTTTCATATGGGTATTTGCATGCAACTTGACACTTGTTTAAGGGTAATAATTGCGTATGATTTCATAGACATATAACTCTTGCAGGATTTTTTTTCTGACTGCATTATACCCCTTCTCAAACTCCATAGAAAATTCATTGTTCAAGTTTTTCACTAAGGGCCTGTCTCAACAACTTCTCTTTCTTTATGATTGTTGGTTGATGGCCACAACCCATAACTACTTACGACATGATTTCCCTGTTTGACTGTGTCTCTGTTTATGCTCATGCTTATAGCAGCAGGTTACTCCATATGTTCATTCAACTCTGAAAGCTCATATAATGTGCATAGAGTTGTTTACTTTTATCTGTAGAATAGGCTTTTCCAATCCGATTACATTATTTTCTAACGTTTAAGAATGTTTTCCGGAGAACAAGTTATTTTATTCTGGTTTTAACTTGTTCAACAATTTTAGTAATGAAGCTACACGAATATAATATTCTTTATATCACATATCAAATATAAGAACTTTTTCATTGATGCACTTTAAAGTGTAACACTGACATTCCCTGCGTCTTTTTTCGCTATGATTGTATAACGTAAATGATAACACATCAAAATATGTACACGGCCTGTGCATTATTATTTTTACAGAGTCGCAAAATCAGCACAGGTACATGTATGTGATAAAGTATAATAATGCACTGTTTATTGTTCAAATGCTTTGTAATTAATCACTAAGTTTTTTTTGGCATTTGTGATTGTATTTCTGCATATTTGAACTCTACGATGCATTTTTATGCAACAAAACAATCATAATTGATATTTTCTAAATATAAAATCCAACATAGATCAACTGTATTTTTCAGGTCATCTATACCAGCATACCTGTACGAAATGTTACGCCCGGAATTGGGGCGGAATTTCGGCACGGATTACGCCCAGAAAGTTAAAATTCCTAAAAATTTTCAGTATATGATAAGGGTTCATTTTACGGGCGGATTCTGGGCGGAAATGGCACGGAATTTGGCACGAAATATGTAAATGAGCAGGAAAAAATTATGTGCGCAATTTTGAACGGAATTTTAGGCACGGAATATTTGGCACGGAATTCTTGGCACGGAATTCCTGGCACGGATTCTGGGCGGAAATGGCACGGAATTTGGCACGAAATATGTAAATGAGCAGGAAAAATGTCCGTGCAAAATTTTAAACGTAATTTTTGGGACGTAATTCTTGGCACGTAATTTAGGCTGAATGGCACGGAATCTGGCATGAAATATGAAAATGAGAATGAAAAATTATGTGCAGAAAAATTTGACATGTACAAGCAAACATAAATATTATGAAAAAATAAGTTTATTTGAGAAAAAAAAATAACAGTAATAAAAAATTACAAGTTATTAATTACAAAGAAACCAAACAAAATTGCAGAAGAAGTAAATAGTAATAATCTGTTAATTATATATATACAAAGAAACAATTTCACTACAACTAATTTCACTACAACTATCATTGTCTCAATAACCATGTCTCTAAACAGTAAACTTTCGAAGCTGTTTTCTGGCATATGCCGCCCTTTCTGTTACCGCAGAATTTAACTTCTAATCTGGGAATGTATACCCAACATTTTTTTTGCACCAGGAATTGACATACTCTGAAACATTAAAATGACCACTATTAAGTCCAAGAAAAATAAAACACAAGAAAATATATTACGCAAAACAAATCCATTAAGCACTTGCAAACTCAACATGGTCCGAAGCTTAAAGTACACTGAAGGTGCTGAACTCTGATCTTCATGACAAAAGTATTTTTTAAACTAAATTTCACATACTACAGGCATTAAAAACTTTTGTTTTGCTAAAATATAATTAAAAATGCAAATAGTTTACCCTTTAAAGTTGCAAGTTTTTTGCCATCAAGCAATGGCTTGTCCTCTTCCCCAGGCTTAGGCCTTCCCAACCCAGTGCCCCTGGATTGTGCCATTTCCTCAATAGAGAAGACATGGCCCAATAAATTATACATTAAGTGAAAAGCTGCGTTATCTTTCTTTTTTGTGGCAGCATGGCACGCCTTCCTCAGTGCCTGTCTGTTAATGTACATGTTACTGGTGGGCAACAATTTCACCTGTAAAAATAAAACAGAAAACTCTGTTTAAAACAGCCTCCGGAATAAGTTTGCAAATCCGGAATTTTCGCAAACTCAGCTACCTTTTTTAAATTGATTAGAGAAAAAATTTAAAGACCGGTCAATAATAGAGATTGAGTCAAGTAAAACCTGGCCTTTGAAATGACGATACCCTTAAAATTAAATGCAGGGGGAGACA